TCAGAACATCTTTCTTTCTTTCACGCTGTTAACTAGTATTCCCCATCACCATCTCTGTGCTTCCCTAACCCCTTTGAAACAAGTTCACAGTCCACATGGTAGCTCCCTGCACCTGTAGTCATCCTTACCTCCTTGTCGTGATCAATTTGGGAGCTTCCATTGTCATCAGACAAACATTTGCACTAACCTCAGGTGTCAAATGAGACAGACATTAACAATTGTCATCACACTGATTCCGACTTGTAGTGACCCCATGTGTATCGGAGTAGAACTGTATGTACTCCACTGGGTTTTCAATTGTGACCTTTTGGAAGTAGATTGCTAGGCCTGTCTTCCAAGGTGCCTCTGGGTGATTTCAAACTGCCCACTTTTCAGACAGTAGCCGAATACTTAACTGTTTGTACCACCCCCATCCCCCACCCCCCACCCCCAGAAACAGACATTAGTCTTTGGAGAACCTAGGGACTTCTTTGCTTGTGGAACCTGAAGAATGCCAGCCCAGGGCAAAATTTTAAGGTCTCTGATGTTAGAGACTGTGATCAAAGGTTCAGGAGTGAAGAGTGGGGTTGATGACTGTTGGCTCCTCCTTCCGTGAAGACCAAAATTAGAGCGCCATCCTGCATTTCTGCAAGCATGGGACCAGCAATGAGCATTTCAGGTGTTTTTTTTGTGGAATGGTGATTTCAGTGTGTTGATTTGCTGCAATGTTCTTGCCCAGGTCCCTTTGTGACCAGTTTTAATGATTAATAAAGCAGTCAACTAGCCTGTGTGGCAGTGGGACCCAGAGCCGTGTCCTGTGGACACCATCCATGGCTGACAGTGAACCAGCCACCAGCAATATGAGGTGGGGCTGGAGAAAGGAAGCCATTTTTCAGTCTTAAGGTCTCTACTGCTAGTTACTGGCAAGGATCAAAAGATCTTTTCCAAAGGGGGACTTCACTGTGGTTTGGATGTGAAATGGAAAGTCATTTCATGAGGGATTCATTCAGTAAATGTATGTTGAGTCCATGCTCTGTGCAAGACACCTGCTCAGAGCCAGAGACAGAGAACAAGGCCTGGTTCCTGCCATGGAGAAGGCTCTTTAGCTTTGGGCAAGAGTAAGATCAGTTTTGAGTAAGATGAGTCTAGGGGTGAAAAGTAGCGAGACAGACTTACTTTTGTCTATATCATGAGTTGTGTGCGTGTGTGTGCGCCCCTGTGTGCATGTGTGTGTACAGGTATGTGTGGGCTGGAGTGACTGAGGAAAGGAGATGTTTCAAAGTGCTCAGAGATCCGATAAACAGGGCTGCACCTGCATTAAGTGGTTAATCCTTCCAGGAGGCTCGAGAAGCCAGTTGTAATTAGATATATTTTTTCTATTACTTAAATTGAAACAACTAATTAAATCCTTAATTAATGTTTTTCAAATACCTCGGGATACAAATTGCCAGAGAAGTTAGTCTAAGTGCTAAATATTACTATGAAGTCCCAGGGAGCAGCTTGCTCATGTGTTGACTCTAGAATATGCAAGAAGGCTCACGCTGTGAGGAAAAGTCATTTCAAATGCAATTTGCAAAATGTTTAAAGTATCAAAGTTTCTCCCCCTTGGCCTCTATTAAAACGTTCATTCTTGATTTCTTATCCCCCTTGATGAAGTCCTCAGATATTTTTTGGGAGGAAGCTTGTTTAGAAGAGGGGTTGCTCATTTCTGGGCCCATCTGTATAGCATCTAGCTTATTAGATACTGTACAGATGTTCAGTATCTACAAGCAATATTAGTGCAGGCTATACACAGTAACTAAATGTCTAGTGTGAGCATGCATTTTCATTTTTAAAGTTATCAAAGGACTGGAGGAAAAGACTGACAAATCTATCCTGGGAGGGAGCCAGGCCAACATTGAAAACCAAAACCAAGCCACTTACCATCAAGTTGATTTAGACTCATGGAAACCCTACATGCTCTGAGTAGAACTGAGCTCCATAGGGTTTTTATGCCCCTGGTTTGAATCAGCAACCTTTCGGTTAGAAGTCAAAGTGCTTAACTGTTTAAGCCACCCAGGGATTTCAGGCCAACATTAAGTTCTGCAGAACACCTACCTAATTTCCACGGTCCAAGTTTCTGTACATCTGAAAAAAGTAACAAGGGGTAGAGAGTCTTTTGGAAAGTGTTTTCTACCTCACATTCGTTTTCTGCCTCCTCTCCTCACCATAAAGCATGGAGGAAGGTGCTTGCTGACAGAGCATATGAATATAGTAGCTGAAAGGATTATTCAAACAAGGCAGATTGTTTAGGGACAGATGAGGGAGGCTTTTTCTTAAATTCTAGCAAAGAGGATAGTTCACATCTGGGAAATTTTTAAGTGGCTTCTTTTTTTTAATTATGTAGATGTTCACATCTGCAGACCCTTCCCTTTTGTGGAATTGTTTTCCTTCCCCTTGATAAGTTTTTTGGCTCATTCTGTGAATTAATCTGCAATGGACTAAACTAGCTAACAACAGATGTGAACTCTCTCTGGACCACTATTTTTTATTTTGCCCACTTTCTATTCATAGTTGGAAACATTTATTAGTAGGTATATGAATGAATTCAGAGAATATATTTGGTAAAATGCATTTATTCATGTTGGTGAACATAGCACACTATTATAGAATCATTTAGGAACCTATAAATATATAACATAAAAAATTGTTGGAAAGCTTAAATCCAAAGAAAATCTTGCAGATTTCATTTTATAATGTATTCCGTTTTCTAGTGCTCTCTCTATATGTTCTTGGTTAAATTAGAAAAACCAAACCCTGTGTAAATCTGCAAGTTCAGAAATGTACAGGATATAATTAACTACATTTTGAAAAAGAAAGAAAAAAGTATGTAAAATCTCAACCCTGGCTGCACCTTAGCAAACATGGAGAGCTTTTAAAAAAGGCCACTGTCTGTCTTGAGCATTGTGTTCTTTTAATATCTATCTGTGTGGTATCAAATTGACAACAGCAACTCCAAAGATTAGATAGGAAACCTAGGGGCAGTGAGTTCATGTTATTGAGGGAGGAACAACTCAGAAAAGGAAGGTGAGAATGTGGCACGACTCGAAGAATGTCATCATTGTCACTGAATTATACATGGAGAAACTGTTGAGTTGGTGTATGTTCAACAAAAATAAATTTTTAAAAAAATTTATTTTATTTATTTTGATTTGGGTGAAGATTTACAGAGCAAATTCACTTTTCATACAGCAGTTCACATATACTTTGTCTCATGTCATTGACCACAGTTTACCACAATGCAACAGCTCTGCCCCCACTTCCTCCCCATAGTTACCTCTTCCCAGTGTCCATCCCTCCATACTCTTCTGCCCCCTGAGCTGTCTCCCTGTGCATATGCAGCCCTTCCTTCTCCCATGATTGTTCTCTCCAGGGCATGTGTCTACTTGAGGTAAATGTTTAACTCACATGCCTGTACTTTGTTTGGCTGGAAATCACAGGTGTGGGTTCAATTCCAGACTTGAAGGGCAGCTACGGCCCATAGTCTCAATGGTTCCACCAGGCTCTATTGGACCAGCAAACCTGGTCCCCACCTTCTTTTTTTTCTTTTTTCTCCTCCAAATGATTTTGAATAAAAAAATTTTTTTTAATGGGAAAAAAAGATGCCAATGCCTGGGCTTCTCCCCCTGAAAGACTCAGTTAGTCTGGGTAGGGCCTGGACAACAATGAGAAAGCCCCAGAGGATTCTGGTAGGTAGCCAAGTATTCCATGTACATGGTAAATTGACTATTTTCATGTTTAACAGGGTTCTGCTTCCCACCTGGCAAACTCCACCTAAAAATAGAAAAATTTTTCTTTGGCCCAAAGGGGAAATCTGTTCTCCGCAGTCACTCTGGAAGGCAGGTCTGTGGGCTCCCGGGAAGATGGCCACTGCTCAGCGGTACCTCCCTTAGAGGCATGGGGGGAGAGAGGCTGGTGTGAGTATCAAGTAGGGTAGGAGCGTAGAACAACTTCCCTCTCTTCTCTGTTAGAACACCTTACCTTGGAGTTAGAAAGCCTGAGTAAAGTCTCTATTCTGTTATTTATACAAAGTGGAGAGACTTTGGTTAATTACATAACCTGTCTGGGTCTCAGCGTCTTCATGTGTAAAATGAGGAAAGGAATGCCAGACTTGTAAGAATAAATAGGATGACACATGTAAACAGGCCTCGTCACATATGAAAGGATACAGAACTAGTGAGTTTGTGGTGGATAGTGCACACTTCTGAGGATAACCCTAAACCCTGATGGTCCAGATGGAGATCTCTCATCAGCCTGTGCTCCTGGGGAGTGTGGTGGGGTGTCAAGGCAGAAGCCCAGGAATCCCAGATGTGCTGAGCCTGGCCCAGAGGCGAGGGAGGAAACCAGTGTATGTCAAGACATCACTGCTCTTCCTGGGGACCATCAATATCAGAAACACCATTTGACTATGCAGTCTAACCTTAAAGCATTGATTGAAGTGAGTATTCAGATCCTTAATGCAGAATGAGACTGTCTTATTTTGTAGGATCTTTTCTTCCAGCACAGTGATCTAAGTTGCTGTCAGACTGCTGAAAGTGAGAAATGTAATGTACTGGTTATCAACATAGACTCAAATCCTAGCTCTGCCACTAGCTAGCAGTTGACCTGGTACAAATTACTTAATCTCTCTGTGACTCAGTTTCTGCATCCATGCAAAGGGAATATTAGTACTGCTTACTTTCTAGGGTTGTTGTAGGAGTTAAATGAGATAATGTGCACAAAACATATTAATAAGCATGAACTCAAATCCCGACTCTGCTGCTAGCTAGCTGATGACCTTGTGAGAGTTACTTAGTCTCGCTGTGCCTGAGATTACATTACACTCATCTGTGTAATGGAGATAATAGTAATTCTTAGCTTATAGGGTTGTAGGAATTAAATGAGTTAATATGCACAATTATATGCTTATCTTAAGAGCCAGGTAGAGATTTGCTATTATCATCAGACAGGGCTAAACTGTGACTCCTCTTTTCCTGCCCCAGTGCCTAGTCCCTCATGTAATGGCTTTGACAGCGCCCTTTCAAGACCTTGTCGGATGCCCTTAGGAAAGGAGGTCTGCTTCATCGCTACTGTGCGTCTAGCAACACCACAGTTTTTAAAGGTAAGTACCTAGGGGAGAACTTACCATGCACAGGTATTGAAATTTAGTAACATTTGTTGTTAGGTGCCACTGAGTCTATTTTAACTCACAGCAACCCTATGTGACACAATAAAAATGCCTCATAAGATTTTCTAGGCTATAATCTTTACAAAAGCAGATCACCAACTCTTTTTCCTGAGGAGCCGTTAGGTGGGTTCAAACCAACAACCTTTCAGTTAGCAGCTGAGTGCTTAACCAGTGCTCCTTGAGTCACATTTAGTTATACTTAATGAATTGCTTTTGTTGGAAAGAATAACATTACAATGAAGTTGACACTGCCTGGAAATCTAAAATGCCTGGTTCCTGTGCCTGTAACAGCCACACATGCTCTTTTCTACTAACCCTGGATTCCTGTGAGTTATTTTGTTTGAAGGCAGCATCCATTGTCATCTCAATGGCAGAGATGCTCAGTGCATCTTCCTCCCATTCATGCCACCACAAATGCCACTCAGGGCAGGCGTGGAGCAGAACTAAAATTGAGAGACCATCTATTTGCTCATCTGTGATTGCATTAACATCTATGCCCATAAACAGTGAATTAAATTAGTAATTCAAATCCAGCTGAAAAGCCATTTTCCACATGTTTACAGCACTTCTTGAGAATGGGAAGGGAGTGGTGTGACATTTTGGCTCCTAGCTATTTTCCCTCAGCTTGTGAAATAAATTTAGTATCAGCTAATACTGAAATTAGCTACAGATGATGCACTTCAGTCCAACACAACTTGGAGGCTTGTTCTGAATGATTTTAACTTCTGTTCCCCACCACCTATTCCTCTTGAACAAACCCAGGGTGAGCATCTGGCACCTCAAGCAACATTTTTTTTTTCTCTCCTAATACAGGAAATGTGCATAGTTGAAGAACCTTTAGAGGAATTCACTTCAAGGCATAGCTTGGAATGGAAATTTTTATTTCTGGATCACAGGTTTGTGACAAGAAAAACATAATTTGGGTTGGGTCCTTTTCAGAGGTTGTTTGCATGAGCCATGCTCTCCTTGGGAGAGAAAAGTCAGACCTGATCAGCTGAAGGAGAAGGACTCAGTGGTGATAGGGAGGGTTATGTCCTGCCAAGGTGAGATGGTTTCACTTTACAGCCTTTGCACCCCTTGCAGAGACTGTGTTTGGGTCCGACCACCTTAGGAGAGCTGAAGCCTCAGCCCCCGGGGCCTCTGATCCATGATCCCCATTCAGACCCTCTCCAGCCTTCCCACGAAGGCAGGATCCAATGCAAGAGGATTCTATCAACTTACCTTTTCCAATACCCTTTTGGTCCATTAGCCAATTTTTTTTTTTTTTCTTTCTTATTAAGCGTTATTCACACTTTAGAAGTAGAAATGCCCCCTCTCCACCCTGTATTTTAATTTTTTAAGACTTTGGCGTTTGGCTGATCTGATCTATAGTTGTTTTTACCTATTCAATAGTGATAAGGCTTATTACTCTCTGGGACAGATTATGCTAAAAGAACAGAGTGTATAAATGCCCAAAATTTTGAACACTTTAGAAAACATGGCCTCACCAGTTTTGATCTTGGCAACGTTATTTTCCTCCATATGTTCTTGAAAAATGGGGCCTCCATATTGATCATTAAACATAAAAGCAGTACACTGCACTCAAAGCCACAGCCCCAATGGCAAGTCCTTCAACGTATTTCCTCTCTGATGGAAGCATTCCCTTTGTCCCTGTGCAGGGCCCCTCCCATCATAGGATATCTGCCTTTTGAAGTGCTGGGGACCTCAGGCTATGACTATTACCACATAGATGATCTGGAGCTCCTGGCCAGGTGCCATCAGCACTGTGAGTACCGCAAGCCCACACCCCACGCTGGGACCCCATTCTGCAGGAGCAGACATCTGGGCTCAGCCTCTGCAAGTCAGCTCCTTCCCTGGTTTCTCTGTAAGGCAGGGGGCTTGGCTTTCTCTGCAATGATCTAGCGATATGGAGACCCCATCTGGATTATCCCTGTGCCTTATAACCTGGAAGTGGCTTGGCTTTTCCTACCTCCTCGCCTCAGATTCTTCACAGTAAACCCTAGATGTTGTTGTTGTTGTGTGCTATCGAGTCGGACCCAACTCATAACGACTTCTCCTTGGGTTTCTGAGGCGGTATCACTACAGAAGTAGATCACCCAACCTTCCTTCTGAGGTATGGCTGGTGGGTTTGAACCTCCAGCCTTCTGGTTAGCAGTCAAGTGCCTTAGGCACTATGTTACCAGAGATATGTAACCTATATAATCTTAAATTAAGAAAGCAAGGTATTGTCAGTAAAAAAAAAAAAAAAAAAATTATACAATCCATTTCAAAGACAATACTGAACTCACATAACTCTTCTGTCATCGGCAGTCAAGTAAGTATTGATCACACCCAAACCAAAACTGACTGCTGTTGAGTCGATTCCCACTCATAGCAACCCTATAGGACAGGGTAGAATTGCCCCATAGGCTTCCCAAAGCTGTAATCTTTACGGAAACAGACTGCCTCATCTTCTTCCATGGAGTGGCTGGTGGGTTCAAACTGCTGACATTTCACTTAGCAGATCAGCAGCCAAGTACTTAACCACTGCACTACCATGGCTCGTCACTGGTCACACACTGGTGGATTACCCAATAAGCAAAGTAAGCATGGGCTTACTTGTGTCTTCCTACTAATCTGTAATGAACAATTTCACTTTTTCTTTTCTTATTTTTTACTATATCAAATAATACAATGTTTCTAGGTATAGTTGGCATCTCTGTCTTTCTCCCAACCCCACAGCACCTTCAAATTTATAGTCCCTGGGACAGAAGACCCAATAAGCAGGGTAAAGCATGGCTTACTTGTGTATACTTACAAATCTGTGCTGAACAATTGGACATGAAACCCATGTGAAACTGTTCCCTACAGATTAGTAAGTGAGCACAAGTAAGCCTGTGCTTACCTTCTTACTGGGTAATCCAGTGCTGGTCACACACTACAAATCCAGGATGTAAAGGTAATCCAGGATGTAAAGGTGATCCAGGTCTGTCTGCTGCCCTATGGGAGCTTACAGTTTGATGAGAAAACCCCAAATAGATGATCATATAGGACATGGTCAGTGCAGTGAAGGAAATGCTCATAGGATTCCAGGGGGTTCAAAATAAGGCCCTTCACCTAGCTGGGGAGTGAGGGAAGGCTCTGTGCCACAGAAGAGGGGGGACACTGGCTAAAGGATATGAGGTTGAGGATGAGCTCAAGGTGTGGAGGGAGGGAGAATTACAGGCCTATCCAGGTTCTCACTTAGCAGCAGTAGTCAAGAATTAACCATTTAAAGCTATATTTTGAGTGGTGACTCAGCTTTGAGCAGGAACATTTGTCTTCACACTGACCTGTGGATCCTGATCAATGAATTGACCACTAACAGTATATTTTAATAGATGCCTTGTCTGCCGTAAAAAGCTCTGGTGGTGTAGTGTCTAGAGCTGCTAACCAAAAACGTCAGAAAGATGAGGGATTCTGCTTCTGTAAAAAACCCAGTGGGGGTCACTATGAGTCAGAGCGGACTTGATGTTAGTAAGCATGGTGTTTTGTTCTAGTCTGCAGTACCCACTATGACTTTCTCTTCTGAGCTCTTCTTACTGAAGGAAGAGTAGGCTTAAGTTCTGTCAAGAATCTGCTATTAGAATTTGAGGCTAATCTTTATAACTTTTAACTCTGTACTCCTCCAACTGTGGTCCCTGGACCAGCAGCCTAGGCCTCACAGGACTTTTGATAGACATGTAGAATCTAATCCCCCAACCCCATCTTCAGACTCTTCAGAGAATGGCCGTTCATATTGAAGAACTTTTTTTGAAGGACTTCAGTTTGGGTGTTGGGTTTCCTTCTGTGGCGCAGGGTGGACTTTATTGGTCTCTTGAGCTGGTGCCTTGCACCCTGCTGGGCTTCTCACTTCTTCAGGTACCCTCCTTCTTTTATTGTTTTAGTTTCTCAGTTTTGGCTTCTCTTGACTGTTGACTATTTGCATAACCCACTGCCATGGAGTCAGATCCAACTCATAGCGACCCATCCTTGAGTTTCCAAGGCAGTATCACTACGGAAGTAGATTGCCCAGCCTTCCTTCCAAGGACTGACTGGTGGGTTTGAACTGCCAGCCTTCTGGTTAGCAGTCAAATCAGACACTGTAGATATTGTTGTTGTTGTTGCTGTCCAGTCGATTTCCGACTCCTAGTAACCCCATGCGACAGAGTGGAACTGCCCCATAGGGTTTCCTAGGTTGTAATCTTGACCAAAGCTGATCACCAGATCTTTCTCCTGTGGATCCACTGGGTTGTTTGACCCACCGATTTTTAGTCAGCAGCCGAGTGCTTAACCATTGCACCAACAGGGCTCCTTACAGTGAAAATAAAACTCAAATTTTCTGGCCTTCATCCTTCTGTCGTGATCAGGTTATAAATCACCAGCACCCATTTCATTCTGGACTTCCCATGCGAAAGTCCACTGGTAGACATACCGCGGGTGGCTCTGTGCACCGTGTGGCCGGGGGTGGACTAGGTGGGGAGGGGAGGCATCTGTACCAGCCTCTCTTTATTTTAGAACTGTGCAGACTAAGTATAAACTGCTGACTGACAGCCACAGAATGAGTCCAAAGGTTGCTGGCTGTCAGTTCTATTTTTGGTCCCATTTTTCCAGTGTCTGGGTGCTCTTTTCTGGGCTCGGCTCCCAGCAGCTCCAAAGGCAGTTCCACCTGCAGCAGGAAGAGGAGCACCAGGAAAATCTGGGCTTCTTTTTAATTGAACCACAGATTCAAAATATGTTCACATCTGTCTTTATTTGAAGATCCTTTTAAGTTTTTGAGCGTTTGGGAACGTATATATGTCGGTCATTTCTCTATTTCAGAATCCATGGTAGTTTACCATGATACTAACATTTACTTAAAATACAGTGCATCTGGGAAAAGAAACAATGCTTGTATTCTCTTTCACTCTTTTTTTTTTTTTTTTTTTCCTTTTTAATTTGTATTGTGATTTGGGTGAAAGTTTACAGAGAAAATTCATTTTCCATATAGCAGTTCATACACATTTTGTCTCATAACACTGACTACAATTCCCTACAATGTAACAGCTCTCTTCCCACTTCTTCCCTGTACTTACCTCTTCCCTGTGCCCTTCCTTCCCATGCACTCCCATCCCCTGAGCTGTTTCCCTGTGCAAACACTGCCCTTCTGTTCTCCCATGACTAATCATTCTAAGGAGTGTATCTACCTGGTATAAATGTTCACCTTATATGCCTATCTGTTGTTTGGCTGGAAGCCACAGGAGTGAGTTCAGTTCCAGACCTGAAGGGTAGCTAGGGGCCATAGTCTCAGGGGTCTCACCAGGCTCTATCAGACTAGCAAACTTGGTGTTTATTTATTTATTTTTTTTAATGATTTTAAGTTTTGTCCTACATTTTTCTCCCACTCTATATAGGATCTCCAGCACCAATCCCCCTCCGAGTGGTTGACAGTGGTAGCCAGGCACCATCCAGTTCTACTGGTCTCATGGTCATATAGGCTGAAGATCACATGGTCTGCCAGTCCCTTGGACTAATTGTTTCCATGTGTCTTTGGTTTTTCTCATTCTTCTTTGCTCTGGATGAGGAGAGACCCATCATTGCATCTATATGGCTGCTTGCAAGCTTTTAAGATCCCAGTCACTACTAATCAAAGTAGGATGTAGAACGATGTTTTTGTGTAGTATGTTATGCTAGTAGAGCTTGATGTCCCTTGAGACCATGGTTCCAAGTCCATAGGTCCAACAACTCACACCTCCAGGTAACTGGCTGTAACCAAGAAGTCATCACAACCTTGTCCCTTGTCAGCTCTACTATATACCTGGACATTCTTACAGCACATACAAATATGCTTGTAGGAACATCATCTGCCAACACTATACATGATCATGGGCACACTACCCCCTGCCTAGACATACCTGAGCATTAAGCCTGTCCACCCATCTACCCCCCCAGATCAACGTTTGCCATCACTGGCAATGCAGTACTTTATATACAAAAGGGTTCATCTTTGTTATCTGTACCTCCCATGCGCCTCTCTATGTCTTCCTCTTCCTCAGTGCTACCATGTTGATCACTCACATTTCGTACATTGCCCTTCCCTTCACCCAAATCAATACTTGCTTCAAACCCACCAGCCACTCCTCAGAAAGAAGGTTGGGCAATCTACTTCCATAATGATATTGCCTCGGAAACCCAAGGAGGGGTCACTATGAGTTGGGTCCAACTCGACAGCACATAACAACAACAACAACAACCTATCTAGCAGTGTTCACTCCCCTCCCCTCCCACCCCTGGTAACCAATATAGTAAGTTTCCTTCCATATATAAACCTTGCCTTGGCTTTTCACAATAACAGACTAAAACAATATTTGTCCTTCTGTGATTGACTTACTTCACTCAGCATAATGTCCTCCAAGTTCATCCATGTTATGAAGTGTTTTGCAGATTCTACATTATTCTTTAGTGTTGCATAGTATTCCATTGTGTTTATGTACCATAGTTTGGTTATCCATTCTTCTGTTGATAGGCACCTACATTTCCATCTTTTTGCTATTGTAAATAGTGCTATGATGAGCATGGGTGTGCATATATCTTTTCTTGTCCTGGCTCTCACTTCTTTAGGATATATACCTAGTAATGAGATTGCTGGATCAAATGGTATCTCTAATTCCAAGTTTTTAAGGAATTGCCATACAGCTTTCCACAGTGGTGTGTCATTTGACAATCCCACCAACAGTGTATGAGAGTCCCAGTCTCCACATCCTTGCCAGCATTTGTTATTTTCTGTCTTATTGAACTTTGCTACCAGTGCTGGGGCAAGATGGTATCTTGTTCTTTTGGTTAACATCTCTCTAATGGCTAAGGATCATGAGCATTTCTTCATGTGTTTGTTGACCACCTGAATATCCTCTTTGGTGAAGTGTCTATTTATGTCTTCTGATTTTTTAATTGGATTGTCTTTTTGTTGTTGAGGTGTTGGAGTTTTCTATAAATTTTAGAGATAAGACCCTTGTCAGATATGTCATTGCTGAATATTTTTTCCCAATTTGTAAATTCTCTCTTTACTTTTGGAGAAGTCTTTGGAAGCACATAAAAATTTAATTTTTAGAAGGTCCTGTTCATCTAGTTTAGCTTCTGCTGTTTGTGCATTTTGGATTATGCTTGATAATCTACTTATGACATATATAATAGGGCCCCTAAATTTGCCCCAATTTTTTCCTTGAGGAACTTTATAGTTTTAGGTTTCACATTTAAGTCTTTAATCAGATTGACTACATCTGTGGCAAGAGGCGGTGGAAAAGCTCAATATCTTCAGCCAAAACC